CTACTTCTGCTTTTCTCACGTCTTTAACTCTCTCTCTCTCTCTCTCATCTCCTTTAAGCTCCTCTCTTTCCTCCTACTCTCGCTAGTTTCTCTCTCCTTATCTCTGTTATGTCTTTCTACATTTTACTCCTCCTCCTCAGCATTTCTTCCCCTGTTCGTCGTAAGGTACAGAATAAGTCTGTGGATTATATCAAAACACACAAACATTAATACCCGCTACAAGAATTAATCAACAAAATTCCTTGAACTTGTTTCCTCTGGTATAAAAAACGATGGTAGGCTTGAGGGTTATGCATTAAGGAATGAGTTTGTTGGGTGTTCATTCATCAGATGAAATGAGTAAGGGTGCTTGATCTTTAAGTGGTCCGTTTTTAATATATTTCTTAGTGTTCTGAAGGGAATTTACTTGAGGGAATTCATAAATAAAGTCTGAACACTGAGCGTTTTTCGCCCTCACACTGTAAACGTCTCCGTGTTACCTTAACATTATTTTTCCTCTGTAAACATTTTTCAACATTATGTGTTGACACTTGGTAAACAAAATTCAAGTCAAGTAATTTGACGTACTCAAAGGATATAAATTCATTACGTATACGATACAAATTTCAACCGAGATTATATTTACAGAGAACGTAACTCATTTTATTCTAATCTAGAGGAAAATATTGTATAGCTGTTTAGAAATAAATAATTGAAGAAAAAAAAACGAAAACTTGGATATATTTGTAAACAACACCATAAATTTATTCGTATTGGAAGACAATGTATTGTGTTAGTGTTTACGTCGTGGAGGCTACCCAAGACACTGCAATCTCCTTACCCAGCAGGTGACGTAGTGGAGGGTGTGTGTGTGTGTGTGTGTGTGTGTGTGTGTGTGTGTAGAACAGGTGTTTACTCAGTATTTATGTCCCTTCAACTCTAGACATTTGACACACACACACACACACACACACACACACACACACACACACACACACACACACACACACACTTTAAAAAGAATATCGTGTTAACTTTGAGCTCCTGACTTGACCTCACAAATAAGCAGAACATTAATGTAAATACAGACGGGAGGAAGCTAAGGCAAATATTTATCATGTGTGTTGGTGCTACTGACGAGTCCTGAAGTGCAGCACTGCTTAACGCCAGGCGAAACACACACACACACACACACACACACACACACACACACACACACGAATAAACACTCAATGAACGTTCTACCACTTCAAAAAGGCAGGATATACAAAAAAAAACCCGACTAAATTACCCGGAGGAAAGGTTAAAATGGTGTGTTGTTGAGCAGCAGTGAGTGAAGGGAGAATTAGTGACGCAAAACATTACCTTAAAGGGGAACCAAATAAAAAGTTTAGGATCAAAGGCCAGGAAGCAAATTTAAAACATTTCCATAAGTCACTGGGACGTAATGAAGAGTTGGGGGTAGGAGAGAGAGTGAGAGAGAATGAGAGAGAATGAGAGAGGAGGAAGAAGGAGGAGGAAGAAGGGGAAGAGGATAACCAATTTTCTATCATTCTCTCTCTCTCTCTCCCTATATATTACAATGTATACAGGGTCGTGTAAACTACTGGAAGGTCATCAGTGTGTGTGTGTGGAGGAATAATCTGTGACGTAAGACATAAATGAGGAAGCGGAGGATTGATAGGGATTATATGGTTAATGTAGCATAAAGATGGAAGTAAAAGTGTTGACAACTGTTCCAAATTAATTTAAAGTTGTGTATTGGAAACGCTTTACCATTATTGCATCTATTTTCTATATGTGTTGAGGTGAGATGTCTATAGAGTGTGATCTAATGTGTTCGTATTAGATGGGAATAATCTCCCTCATTTGTAGCTAATTACACCTCGTAGAATTACCATACATATCGAATTTACAGGTTTATTACATTAGCCTGACTGTCGGTACAATGTCACCTTCCTCCTGACCCGGTATTCAGCTCCACAGATAGAGGCAAAGTGTCATATTCTGATGCCTGTTGAAGGTGTTCTATGGTCTGGGTGTTGGATAAGGGTTTGATATCCATTTTACTGTTTTCATTAAAGTCATTGATGATAATTTAACCCATTTCACCCAACTATTTGATACATACATTAATATTTGTAAACATAAATCTGAATACACTGTTAATTATTCTCTTATTTTTAATTTACTAAAATTTTATATGTGATTCTTAGCTGTTTGCTATTTCGTATTCCCAAGGTTGTGACGTTGTTGTTAAAAATACATATATTGTTAGTTTTTGTTCTATTGAAGATATTTCTATGTAACCTACTGAGGTCCCTTACTCACTCAGTATTACATCTCACTAGGTCTACAGGTTACCACATTAGTGTTTCATATGTGGGTCTCTCTCTCTCTCTCTCCCTTAACCATTTACCACTGACAGTTTTTCTTTCAGAATAATGTTGTATCATTTTTAATGTCTTCTTGTCTTTCCTTCCATCGTTCGTACGACCAAAAAGGAGGTAGAGTATAGCACTATATGACCACAAAGCCCAGATGCAGGTCTTTCTATAAAGTATCCTTCACATGCAACGGTAGATGCAATGACAACAGGACAAGTGTCAATCTATGCTTAATTATTGGTCCCAAAATATCTTTGATTTCGTGCGATTTTATATATTTACTTTTTGGATACTTCGTTTCGTTCTTTTGCTCTTTTGAAAAATGGTCTTAAAGAAAAATCTAAGACGATGGCCGTCAACTTGTGTAAATAAAAGTTAAAATTATATATTATAGTATTTCTCCATCATCTGGCATCATCCTCTGCTTTGCTTGTGTTATTTCTTTGTGTGGTGAAGGCGAGTCACATCCTGTGCATTAGACTTATTGTAGTCGCTTATACAGTAATGTAGTTTATATATAAGTGAGTGGTTCTCGGTCCCTCTCTCTCTTCCTTAATCCCTCTCTACTTATTTCTTCCTTTTTTACTAAGTTTCTTTCCATTACTATCTATCTTTACACCTTCCTCCTTCTCTTCTTTACTTTCTATTCTGTCTTCCTCTTTAACCTTCAACGTACGACAAGTGTAGATAAGGCAAGATTTGACGACTCGCTAACAGACCCAACAGCCGAACACGGAACCTAACCTAATAGCAACCTAACTTAGCCTAATCTAACCAACCACTAACCCATGTTAACCTAACCTTTTACAAGCCTAAGTTAAACTAATTCTAAAACATAACCAAACCCATTCATTATTTCAGTACGAATAAATCGGGTTTCGGTTTCGGGTTCGGTTTCGAGTTCGGTTCAGGGTTCGGTTTCGAGTTAAGTTCCAGGTTCGGTCCCTCAGGATTTATATGCTTCCCCCTCGCGCTTTATCCAACCCAACCCATCCCTACACTCCTCGCTCATCCCATCACCAATGAATCGAACTTTTTTAAATGGCACGTCAACCATTAATTCTTCTTTAGGGCACTATAGGAGAATTGCACCGTCTCTAGACTATACAACACACACACATATATCCACTGGCACCTGAAGATGACCAAATATATAATGACAAAAAAATAATACCTTAATGCCATTTTGCTCCCTATCTTGTATGAAGCATCAACACACTACAGTATATAGAATCTCTTACTATTTTTACACTGTTAAATTCCACATTGCTAGACTACCTTAGCTTGGGCATAATCAAGGAATAAATTATATATATAGTATTATTCTTAAGGGTTAATTTAGTTTTATTTTGCTTATATTTTAATTAATTTCTGGTAAGTGATGTGTAAAGATGGAGACAGAGAATGAGACGAGAATAAGAAAGAGACAAAACTGAAGTAAATACGTAAATAGATAATGAAAAAGAAGAGAGAATAATACAAACAAACAGACAGGGATGAATGTGTGTGATAGCTAGGCGGTGTAGATAAAGAAAACGGAGAAAGAAACAGGGTAGGAGAGAGAGGAGAGAGTCTATTAGGAGAGGAGGGTAACTATTAGGACTGGGGTAAGGGTCTATTAATAGGATTAATATTCTAGGTATTAGGACTGGGGTCTATTAGGACTGGGAGACCTATTGGGAATTAGGGTCTATTAGGACTGGGGTTTATACTAGGACTGGGGCCTATTATAACTGGGGTCTATTAGGACTGGGGCCTATTATAACTGGGGTCTATTAGAACTGGGACCTACTGGACTGGGGCCTATTAGGACTGGGGTCTATTATAACTGGGGTCAATTAGAACTGGTACCTACTAGGACTGGGGTTCATTTGACCTGTAATACTCATTATTATTATTTATAAACAATATTAAATTAATCCACAAAACAAAATATCAACAGAACTAAAATATATTTGTAATCTATTAATTAACCTCAACAAATTCCATAAAACAAAATAATATACAGATGTTTTCGCTCTTATCAGTCATTTGATGTAAAGTGTATAGTCAAATCAGTTCAATGAATAATCAGATGAAAAAATACACATTCTTTTAGTTTTTTATAAATCCGCGCAATGGTTTAAGTTAAATAAAAAAAATAAGTTGCGCGATAACAGTTCAATATTTCTTTAGTAAATTTAATATCTTAAAACAAAACAAACGAGAAGAACACTCAAACAACTCTAGTGACAAACGTGACTGGTTTTTTTTTTGTCTCTAGAAATTAAAAATAAAAACCTCAACTTTGTCCAGGAATCCTAAATATGCTTCACGTTAAGGAGATCTTTAGTAAAAACTTGAATACCAAAAAATTCATTCATTAGTGTTTTCTTCATTCATGTAAATTTGATCTAGAAACTGAAGCCTTTTATCTCATTTCTATATTGGTAATAAAAGGTCAGTGGACGAATTAACCTCTCCTTAACTACATCCGATATTCTAGGTGTGTACGTGTTGTGGGTAACTAGCAAAAACAACACTGGGAAAAAAACGGACATTCCATTGTTAATAAGTCGTATGTATTCTCTCCCTCCCTCTCATGAACGAGATAACCACCATCGATGATTAACACTGCTTTCCTCTTTTTTCTAGTCGTACTCTATGCAACTGTACCTCCGGCAAGTGTGGTTCGACTCACGCCTCCGTTTCAACAAGACCGACTTGGGCACGTCCCAGTTCTCTATGAACTGGATGTTCGCCGCCAAGCTCTGGAAGCCGGACACCTTCTTCATCAACGGCAAGAACTCCTACGCTCACAAGATCACTGCCCCCAACACCTTCATCCGTCTACAATACGATGGCCAGATTACCTGGTCCTTGAGGTAGGTGTGTGTGTGTGTGTGAGTGTGTATTTTCTGGTAAATTTTGCCCTGTTTCATTTAAGACGTCGTTTGCCATCATGAGGAGGAAATATGAAGCTATTCAAATGCATTACGATTATATACATGATCGTCAGTGGCCAGTCAGAAGCTTAAAAAAATAGAAATTCATAGAAGTTATCGCTATTTCCCAACTATCTACACCTCCTGCTGATACTTAGTGTCGTGTCCTTCCAACGTTAACATCAAATATGTCATTCTTGTTGTTATACATCACCCGGGTTTCATTTTTTTATCAAATGGTTTTAATAAAGACTTTGTTGTGTCTCACCGAGCAGACTGACTGTGCGGGCCAGCTGCAAGATGCATCTCCGCAAGTTCCCGCTGGACACCCAGATCTGCCCCCTCAGCCTCGCCTCATGTAAGTAACGCCTCACTCTGGTACCACCACACTCACGTACAGATAAAGAGAGAGAGAGAGAGAGAGAGAGAGAGAGAGAGAGAGAGAGAGAGAGAGAGAGAGGGGTTACAGACAATCGCTCACTTATAGAGACACAGAGATAGTACCGACTGACGCCCATTTAGAGATGGAGGGGGGAAGGGGGGGGGAGACATGACGCTACTTAGAAAGACAGAAAAAGAAGCCAGAAAGATGAGCAGCAAAGTGGAGAGAAAAAAAATGATCACAATGAATGATTAATTTAAATATCTTTCTCTCTCGATTTTCAACATATTCACACACGAGATGATGTTATATACTGTTTTTGTTTTTCCCAGAGACGAGTAGAATATATAATAATATATCTAATATATCAACCAACATCATAAAACAAGTACAACACATCATAGTACAGCCGTAATATATAATACAACAGATAATATAAGTCAAACAACATCTATATCACATCATACGAGTGTAATATATACCGTATATCTGTTATACCCCAACCAGACGGGTATAACTCGAATGATATGGTATACAAGTGGGCGCAGGGGCTGGTCACAGTAGATGCTGACGTGAGCATCGCCCAGTACAAGCTTATTAACATCACCACGACTTCTGCCAAGGTCATCGTGAGAAGAAAAGGTAGGAGTGAGAGGAAGGTCCTGGTAAGGTAAGATAGCCCTTGAGTGTTAAGAGGGATGTGTTGGTATAGCGAGTGTAGGCTACCCATGCATGATACACCTCAGAGGATATGCTGAAAGGCTACGACTACTACTAATAATGATAATAGTAATGATAATAATGATAATTCTACAACTACTACTTCTGTTGATAATAAAAATATAAATGAATAATAACAATAATGATAATGATACTACTACTACTACTAACCTATTCGTTTAATTAACATCATTTAGGCATTTATTACCTTGATCCATTAATCACAAAGGTAATTTATAACAGGACATAATGATCCCTTCAATAAATGTGTTGTTTTCCTGAACATCTTTATACTTGTCACCCCTCACAGAAATTGACACATTTCTAAATAATCTAACTTTCCCTTTATAATACTATGGCATTTTCTCTTTCATGCAGAGAATAGGCGCCCAGGTAAGGTACTACAGTTGTCATGTAGTTTAGCAATGTTGAAAAAGAATGTTAGATAATGTTAAAGGAAGGTTTTGTTTATGTAGTAGCTCATCACTCAATGTTGTTATGTTGAATGTTTATGTTGTGGGTTTCTTCTTTTCTCTCCATTAGAATGTAAACAAATACCTACATAAACGTCAAGTATATGTTCAGTTATATACAGCCACTCATACACTACACACACACACACACACACCCAATGCATATGCTGGTTCGCCTGTATGTGTACGTGCGAGAGAGAGGGGGGGGGGGCTAAAAGCATTAATCAACAGCTAAGAGAAACCCACCATCACGAACTCATCCCAAATTATCATCGGAGGTAAAAATAAATATATTCTTAAATCCCATTACGTTTATTCCCCGGCGTGTACTTAACAATCCCGGTTAAGCCTCAGGGACGAGAATAATAATAATAAAAAACTTGAAAAAACATTGAAATTATTCCCTCGAGTGTACCTAACATATCAGGCAAGGCTGGAGGGGCGAAAAACCTTCAAAAAAAAAAAAGTCAAGTCCCACGCTGTTCCTATATAGAGATGACTGGTCAACCATATTCAGGAGATGTGTTTAGGACCGCCACCTTGCCCTACTAGTAATAGATTTTATGTTAATTAACTCCAATTTCTATTGTTCTTGATCTAAAGGTTAACGAGATTATGTCACTGTTTGGATTGGTTAGAGGATTGGTAGGACTGGGGCTCATATTAAACGAGCTAGTTAACCTTCTGGGAGAATTTGTCTTAGCCAGAAGTCAAATGATAAAGTTCTTGTACCGTATAGTCTTTCGCCTCAAGGATCCCCGACACCTCCAGGACACTGTCAAAGATTTTATCTGGTGTGGGAAGAGTGTAGTGTTGGGGGGGGTGAGAGGAGAGGGTGGAGGTGTAGGTGATTGAGGAGTTAGTGAAGGGAGGTGTAGGTGAGAGGAGAGTGTAGAGGTGTAGGTGATTGAGGAGTTAGTGAAGGTAGGTGTAGGTGAAAGGAGAGTGTAGAGGTGGAGGTGTAGGTGATTGAAGAGTTAGTGAAGGTAGGTGTAGGTGAGAGGAGAGTGTAGAGGTGGAGGTGTAGGTGGCTAAAGAATTGTTGGTGTTGAGTGTAAGGAGAACTGTAGTTACTGACTATATTATGACAAGAACGTAACTAATAGTGACAGTACAGAAGATCGATAATGGTGATAATACAACGAATGAAAAAAAAATCACTCAAACGCTTAAAATAAAAATAATTATTCCACATGAAAAAAAAAATCTTCCTTTGTAACCAAGTTGTTGTTGAGAGGATAAACAAGACTCCTCGTCACGCTGTTCATCTCGGCGTCATTTTCTATCTATAATTTTTGGTTGTATTTAGCATTTCAGCGTCAAGGTAGTTCCTCTAATAACATGACCAGAAGTGAACCATTAAATCCCTGTGAACTTACGGAGTGTGTGAGATGGCGAAATAATCACCAGCGGGAAAAATAAACCTATTTGGAAGAGATAAAAAAAATAATTTATTTTCCCAACCTTGACGAGCAGATCTGGATTAAACGATGATTTTTTTCTTCCTATTTCACATGTGAATATATGAGGATTTAATGACCGTAAAATACAGAGCCTGTTTTTGATCCCTGGCTGCTGTTTACAGGCTGTGGTCTTCATTTTACAGATGAGGACACACACACACACACACACACACACACACACACACACACAGTAGTTCTTGAAGATGTTAGTTACTTTCTCAGATAGATCTACAGCTTACTCGTATTCACTTATATTTGAGCGTCGAGTTTTAAGGTTTTAATAATAATAAATTATTCTTACATTCTCTCTCTCTCTCTCTCTCTCTCTCTCTCTCTCTCTCTCTAAAAAGAACTTCAGTCTATCATCCTTTCTTCTCTTTAAACACACCATCACCCATCACCATTATTATCCTCACCACCACCACAACTACCATCACCACCACCATCATCACCATCACCACCACCACCACCACCACCACCATCATCACCACCATCACCACCATCACCACCACCACCACCACCACCACCACCACCCACCACCATCATCACCACCACCACCACCACCACCACCATCATCATCACCATCACCACCACCACCACCACCACCATCACCACCACCACCACCACCACCACCACCACCCCTCACTAAACCTTTACTATAGGAATAACATTGATTCTCTCAACCCGCTACTACAGAGACTGTCTCCACTCTCAACGTCAAGTTCTACCTGGAGCGACTGACGGGGTTCTTCCTCCTCCAAGTATACGTCCCCTGTATCCTCATCGTGTGCTGCTCGTGGGTCGCCTTCTGGATCACCAAGAAGGACGTCCCTGGCAGAGTTTGTTTAGGTGAGAAGCTACTATACTGGACACCCGTGTATGTAATTTAAAAAAAGGGATTCAGGGTTTCATGAAGATCAGGCAGTTCAGGCACTCGCTCACACTGTAATTTTTACTTGGAAATGTATCTAGGAGACAACATAAATATTTAGTTTTTTTTTATCCGATAATTAACTACAGTATAATATTTTTCTTAATTTCAGGAGTGAGTTTTAATTTGAATTTTTCAGATAATATATATATTATCAGTTGTTACCGCTGTCTCCCCAGTTGAGGCATTATGGTATACATAATTAGATCAACCTTCATAATATACAGTAGATACATTGAAAAGTGATACATGGACACCATCACTAGATTACATATTGTGGTATTAAAAAGTAGGTATCGCATCTTTGAGGTAATAATGGCCTCCATAGGGTCATAACTCGAGTCCATATTCCCTCCTAGATGTGTGCTGCAGGGATTCAAAACTAATGTTCATGGACTCTCGACAAACTGTGCTTTCCCGTTCTCTCCGCCGGCAATGTCGAGTTCATTATGATTTACTTCCTCGAGCTCAATGTGGTTATCCACCCGTAGATAACTTTCTGCAGTTTTCCCTTTACAGTGACCACGTCCTCATGGTGGGGCGTTTTCTCTCGTATTTCCAGGCGTGACCACCGTGCTCTCCATGACCACGTTAGGATTCGGCGGACGATCTGCTTGGCCAGCTGTCTCCTACGCCACCGCCCTCGACTACTTTGTTATTCTGTGCTTTGCCTTCGTGTTTGCGGCCGTCCTGGAGTTTGCCTGTATTAACTTCTTCGAGAGGGCGGCTAACAAGAGGCGGAAGAAGATGGAAGACCTGAAGCATCAAATCACAGAACGTATAATGGTGTGTTGGTCGGGGTGGACTATCTTGCACGATGTAGTCACCTCCTGTTGTTAACATGTGTATTGTAGTCTAGATATATGTTTGCACTGTAGTCTTAATTGCAGGTGTACAGTATCCCTCACCTGGGCAACTGGTCTCTCACGAGCATTCTTCTGAAAATAAAAGTAGAGTTAGAAACATGTATGGTGTTGATGGCTGTATATTGAGTGAACAGGATTTGCATTGTTGTTTTCCGTTGAATTTTGTAATATGGCGAACTGATTACGTCTCTACGGTAAGGTGCGGTAAGGATGATCACGGACTGACTTCAAGATAATGGTTTAGACTTTTGGGACAATGGTTTGATTATAAGAAGGATGATATAATGATGGCTTAACCCCTTTCGGACGATGTTTTAACCCATTGATAGTGTTGGTTTAACTGGATGACGGTTTAACCTCCTTAAAACGACTTAACCTTTTTCTGAGTGATGGCTTAAAGCTTAAAATCTTGAAGAAGATCGTTTAAACCATCGTCTCCAAAGGGTTAATATTACATAGGTTAATATGACTTGAATCTTAATAAACTGTGATCTTAAGTTACATAAAATCTGACTGTAGTTTAGTTTCACTTATAGTTGTAAAGACATCTAGTTTCTCCTCAGTCATTTCTATTTGTATCAAGCACATGTTTGTGACTGGATGTGCTTGTATGTGTATATTGGTGACATGTATGCTTTGGTGTGTGTACCGTTGTGCTTATGTATGTGAAGTTGTCCCTTGTGTGTGTGTTTATGCGCTGTACTGTGTTGCTGTGTGTATGTATGTGCATAGGTTACTAGATTATCCGATTTCTAATACTATTTTAAGTTTCCTTTTCTTTGTGAAATGTATTGTTTTTTTGTTTTTTTCAGTGTGTAGATTTTACATACTTCATTTAGATGCAGTATGTTCTATTATGCTACTATGTGCAAGTAAATCTTTCAAATTATATGTAGCAATTTTCAATATATGTAATGAAAATGATTCTCCATGCATGTTATAAAGTTATGTACATATACTGTACACGTTTAACAGACACATTATCCAGAGTAATGATTTATATACATTAAAAAGCTTTATAGAACAAGATAATGTGCAGTAGTAAAAGAAAAGTGTGTCATAGATGATGTCTTACCTGCAGGCGGCGGAGAAGGACGCCACAATGCTGGTGACGACGACGGTGAGGGAGGACGGTGGCGTGGACATTGGGGCGTCACTGAGGGACGCCATGAAGGTTCCTCTTTCTGTTGTGCCGCTGAGTGTCCAACCCATCGAGGAAGAGGTGGACACCCAGTCCCCACTAAGAGAGGCTCTGAAGCTGCCTCTGGCCATCGTGCCCCAGAGCATACACGCAGTGACGCCAGAGAGAGAGGAACGAGAGGGACTCAAGGCCCGACGTGTGGCCACGCCCCCGGAGAAGAGGGAAGGCGAGGAAGACAGTGGTGGTGATGGTAGTGGCATTGACACAAGTGTAGTGAGTGGGGAAATAGACCCAATGTTAATGAAACGCGAGGGCCACCTGTCTGGCAGCGACAGTGGCAGCCTCACTAGTAGAGGCAGCATATTTAAATTCAAGAAAGATTCCAAAATAAAGAGAGACAGGTCCCAAGACAGTGAAAGTGACTTGACAGTTATAAAGGTGGACATCCAATCCGAGGATGAACAGCTTTCTCCTCCCCCTCCCCCCTTCACAGTGTGGCAAATCCTGACCAAAAAAAAGAAACTCATGTCGGAGATGACGATTAGAAACACCGTGCCCACTGAGGAGGATCTGCTAGATCGTTTTTCCATCATTGATCTCTACGCACGTAGGTTCTTCCCGACGACTTTCTTCATCCTGTTCATCACCTACTGGGTCTTGTTCAACTACTACATCACTGACGAGTTCCCTGAAGAGGCCGATGCTCGGGTACCCTCGGATGGACTAGTTCTCGTATAAAGTTTGTTTTATTTTTAATGTATAAACTTGTTTTGAAGAAAGACAAAGAGCGAGACATTGGCCTCTCCCACCCACTCGCGTCGCATTGATAAGTGACGACAGCCATCCAATCACAGCAGGGATTGTGTTTTTCCTAAAAAATGATTGGTTATTGGAAGCATTTTGCCTCCCCTTCCACCCTCTCCCAACAGATGGTTCTAAAATATCTATCATGTTTTTTGTGAGGTTCTTGTCCCATTAAGATAAAAAAATACCATGCAGGTTGTCAGGATATTCCGTTTGTAGGTCTGCACACTAATGTTTAATTTCATGCATGTAAGTATGTCTAAGTAGCAAAGATACAGTAGGTATGCAAGTATTCACCATAACTGAAACTGTCATGGAAACTTATCGTATATGGGCATATTATGTAATGGATATCTTCATTGCTTAAGTGCAGCTGACCGACAGCGTCTCAAGTTTATGGTCAAGCGTCATTCATTATTTTTTCTTTCGCCCCGTACATGCCAATGCATCACCTACCGTTTTAGAATCAATTTCAGAAGTTAGACTTTAGACAGTTTATGAACGGTTCATTGATAAGTTAATGCACAAGTATATTGCATGGTTTCATGCGATATTTTCCTTAACATGATATATAGGGTAAGATTTGACACTTGGGTTGCTGCAGCACCAGATGCAGAGCACCACAGTAACTCTTGCTTGTTTACCAAATTTTTACGTTTGTTAAACATGTTTTGATGGATCCTTGAACACTGGATGTTCGTCGAGAAGTACAGTAGGAATTATTCTTTCCTCTGTCACACTACCCAAGTGCCACTGTACTTCTAGTCATTCAACACAATGTAAAGCCTTTAATTAATGTAAAATATATTTGCATAATCAGGAAGCCTTCCACAGCTAGCGGCGGCATTTGAGTTTACTTGCAGCTGGCGAAGGAGTTAATTTACATAACAAAAACAGCTGGAGTTGGAACATACCAGAGAGCGAATTTCATTGCTTGAACGTTCATACCGAGGGATTATATATGAGTGAATTTTTACTAGAGGCCATATGTATAAACATTTTGTGCCAGAGGCCACACACACACATATATATAATCACCCCTATAATAGGAGGCTTACGTATACATTATATAAATATATCCTAATCACCAACACCAGTCCAAATTCACCATTATCACCAATTATCGCCTAAGGAAGAAAGAATCTGGAGTCTGAACATAGTATAAATAAGTGTAAATAGGCAAAAGTTATATTAATACTCCATATAAATTTGGAGAAGATAGCTCTTAGTAAATATCGCCTTTCACGAGTATATTATTAATTGTTGTTCATCATGGAGAGATACGTGTTACCACCAGCCACATCACCCTCATAACAATCAATTAGTTGGAGAAAAGAGAATGTTATTCATCTCATCTTCATAATAAAGTCATAATAAAGTCATAATAATGTCATCATAATGTCTAACGTATGTCTTTCGGGGTCACTGGGTTTTCGAGCCGAGGCCGACCAAAACATTTTAGTTAGTTCGAACACTGTGCCGAGACTGAGCCCCTCGGTACAGGGTTCGCTGGTTTATTCACTGTTTCACGTGGTCGGGACCCGGATTATTTTTTCTTTATTTTTTTTATTTATTAATAATTGATTTTTTGTCTTCAGAAAATGGACAATGGAAATTACCAGCATGTCTATCTACACTTTTTTGTTAAATATATCATAATATTTCGAGGTTTTATCCTCGCTTTGTCACATAAAGATACAATGTATTTCCATTGAACCAATACATACACTTATGCTAAGGACTAAATAAGCTTTATACGTTTCGGGGAAGAAAGTAGAGGATAATTTTTGTATGTAGACTTTTTTTTTTTAGTCTCCAGCTGTCGACGTTTGATGGTAAGGTGTCATGTCACTCGTTTATAAAAAGCGTAACTCTCTCTTAGTGCCAGACGTCTCACTGGGCGACACTTGGCAGCCCAGGGTCGGAAAAATTAGACTAAGGAGAAATTTCAAAGTGTTTCTTGGCCAAGGAGACAACTTTGTGTGGGGTGGACGGAGACAAGGACAAGCATTCGAGGTTATGACACTTGGTGTTGTGTCATGGGTTTGCTGGACATTAAAACCCTTTTATTGCCATTCTAATGAATGAAAATAAGGTATCTTCCTTACCCTTTTATGATGTTAAAAGTAAGTTCTACACTTGCATAAATTATGTTCCTTTAATCTGTTCCCATTTATTTATTTTTTTGCTTTAAATGGTGGTTATATCCTTCTTCGACTTGCCTGTTCCTGATCTGATCGCTAAGAGTTACAATGTGATCACAGTTTTTCTCCTAATTTTATTTGGTTGTCTTATGGTATGGGAAACGATTATGTTGCCTCTAAATCTCCCAATTAAACCTATCAAGATATTTGTGTTTTCTTTGCCTTTGGTTTGCATGGTTTGTTATTTACTATTCTCTCATTTCTTAGCAAAGAGGCATATATATATATACACACACATATATATATATATATATATATATATATATATATATATATATATATATATATATATATATATATATATATATATATATATATATATATATATATATATATATATATATATATATTCGTTGATACAACTAAACCATGTATCATTAATAAATGATTTTATGTAACTATTTTTAAGGTAGGATAATATTAAAGTGTTTTTTCTTTGTTTCGCCACAGTTAAGCAGTACACTGTGGTGGATGTAAGACACTTGTTGCAATAAACTCTTCTCCTTACCGCCACATAATTCGCTCTAAAAGTTACAAAACTTTCATCACAAAATATATTGATTATTATTAATATTGTTGATAATATTTTATGTATTTCGTGAGTAAAAATAATACGACACTGGGCTGAGTTCAGGTCGAAAAGGGATTTACTAATTAATTTGCTACTTATTTATGTTTGTTGTTCGTAGACTAAAGATGAATGATGCAACGCTTCTAAACTTATCAAATCTAGGATGGCCTTATATCAATTATAACACATTATTCTAATTACCAGGAGCAAAAATAATTATATGCAGCACAAAACAACTGCATATAACCCCAACCAATAAAACCGCACAAATATCTATATGCAACTCTATAACAAAATGAAAAGCATAACAGAAGGATCAAATTAAATATAACAAACGCTTAAGATCTAAGTCCTTAAAATTACTGAATGGATGTTTTGATTATTGTTGGCAGAGCAAGATGAGGTGTTTCCTCTGGGGACAGAAAGTGGGTGTTGAGGTTCACGGAGAATAATATATGGGACTGTAATTATTATATAGTTATTATATCGATTTGTGCCTCAGTTTATCTGTTTTTATAAATAATATTTTCTCTCCTTCTGATTCCCATTTTCTGCTTTTTCAATAAATATATATATATATATATATATATATATATATATATATATATATATATATATATATATATATATATATATATATATATATATATATATATATGCAGTATATATCTATCTCGCTCTTCAGGAACTGGTTACCCTCATAATACGCCAATAATGTGTACATAATTATAATCACAGATTATGCCCCAAAAGGTAACGAATAATGTACATTCTAATATTTTGCTCACAAGTTTGTGGGTCAGACCTAGAGAAGAAACCAAATGGCCAGAGTCTGTTTGAAAATTGTTTAATGTAGTCGGTGTTCATAATAAATGGCTGCACATCAGCTATATTTGCCCAAGATTCGACTCTACGTTATTATCACCGTCATGCCGAGTCTAGAACCATTCAGCCACCAGCAGGCTGTTGGCTGAGTCGTGGGAGCCTCTGCGTGGTGGTGCTCATAATGTAAAATCGAATCTTAGAAGACGAAGTTTGGAACTAAAATAAGCGATGTAAATGCGCATATTCGACTACCTTAAATACCTATAATGAAGATGAAGATAAATAGAGAGATACAGCTAAATCAAATGACACACATGAGAGAGATAGAGATATAACAAGTTGAACTACCAGAGGAGATAATAGGATAAAATAAGAGACAGTATAGACAAAATTAGAGATAGGTGAGAGATACCACTTAATAAAATGGCCAAGACCCGTTCACCTTCACACCTAAGCTGATCCGCCATAGCAGACAATATCAATTCCTTTTAACACTTTCCACTTGCCCAAACCCCATGTATGTATAAGTGAGTGAGTGTTCTGATGTATAGTTTATCCAGGTAGTGTACATAACTCTTGCAACACTTGGCTTTTAGTAACTCTTACCAGCTTAAAGATATGCGTCTGGATCAAGAACTTTGTTATCCCAAGTGCCCTGATAACAGTAAGCAAAATGAGAAGATAATAATGATGATAATGATAGTATAATAAATAATTACGATGTCTAAAACAATAAAATTAAATTCATACTAATTGCGTTGATATTAGTAATACAGTACAAATCAAAACTCAGACTCGAAGAACGACTAAACTCGATTTACATAAGGAGTTTACAGCAGCCGTCACTTAACAATTGAAGCAATAGACAACTTCCAGCAGAGTGAAATAAGTGACTCCTCATTGGTGGCTGGAGTGAAGCCACCGTCTCTTGATATACACGTAATTGACCTATTGTGATGATTAAAGCAATAAATGGCTCTTCATTCTCTAGGTCTGACACACCTTCTATAAACTGTATATACCTGATTCTCTTTTATTCGTGTATATACAATGAACAGTATGAATATTTCTAGTAATATATTATTTTGTGTGGAGAAAGACATATTAGCAGTGTGAGACTAACTTAATAACGAGAGAGGTTTGTTTGTTTACTTGCTTGCCTGTGTAGTTGTTGTTGATATTGTTGTTGTTTTGTGGAGGAGGAGGGAAATAGTTCCTTGTGGACAGGTGAGGTTCCGACATTTTAGCGCCATTTAGTTGTTTTAATGTTAGTAGAGAATCAGTACTCGTGTTATATTGATCACTTCATCAGTTAGCTGTAGGTAGAATCACGGCATGTACACACTCACGTTTCCTGTATACAGTTATGATATGCACACGTACACCTATCCACGTGTACATGAATGTCCATAAATGCACAGTAAACACTTTCACTCACATATGCCTTAATTTTTGTACACACACACACACACACACACACACACATGTAGAAATGTATAAACATACACAAAAACAATTAACCAGGTGTAGAACAATAAAAATAGATGCACATATAACGCACAACACTCCTACAGACGAGGCAATCCCCACCACCACCCCCACACACCCCACCCCCACCCCACCCCCAGCCCACACACACCCACACCCACCCCCACCCCCCCACCCACACCCCCCACACACACACACACACACACACGCACACGCACCTTATATTATGTACATAGCTAGTCCATAAAAAAAACTCATCATTTCATTCCGACATAAAATGGATAAAAAAAACTTATAAATGTTTTTTCTTCATATCTAAAAATAAAAAAAATAAAAATATGTATATATACAAAAGCCGTTCACAAGTTCGTGTATCCGGGTAAAGCTATTGAAGGAGTACTGTTCCACCACCTCATTATTATTCACGTCTCCAAGTCTTAACGCAAGCTCACAATAATACCTATTTCATGAGCTAATTTTTTGCATGAGTAGTTTAAATCGAAAGTATATATATTCATTCATATTTGTTCCCCTTTTTCCCTTAATTTATTTTTTATCTTTTAGATGTATGTGTGAATATTTTTTTTCTATGTACTTTTGTATATGTTATTTCTATGTATATAAACGTATGTTAATTTCACTAATATTCTCAAAACTTCAATGAATATAGAAATAAAGTGGCATTTCCAGAGTTATTTTTTGCATGTGTAGTTTAAATCGACAATAAATATCCACTACATTTTCCTCTGACATTTTATGATTTATTTGGGTATTTTTGTTATATATCAATAAACGTGTTACAGATATGTCTTTAAAAAAAAAAGTAAAGCATATATTTTGATTCATCTCAGAATATTGAGTTTTAAAAATTTTGAATTTACAAATCTTTGAGGAGATTCTTCTGTTTTCTTATAATATTCTCAGAACATTAGAATATTAAAACACCTTCATTGAATCTAATTAAGTGGTCTTTTTTATTAATGTATTAGGTAGTGTGAAGAATTAAGTAGTTGTATATCATTGTGTGAGAGAGGTGGAGTTTGCACGGTGTATAGGCCATACCACTGTGATGCTTCTTGATAAATAAAGTAAATATCAAATTCCTTTCTTCCTGACACCAGAATGAACCAGAATGAAACAGATAATTACCCTTTGTGTAGTTATTGACTTTTTTGCTGTTGTTACGGGGAATTTATGCACTTTTCACAAACACTTATGAAATCTAAGGTTATCAAGACAAAAAATTTGATGTATGGTAATGACATATTCATCGTTTCCATTTATTGTCTTTTTTTTTACACCTATAGCAAGTGATTATTTAGATAGCTTTGTGTACGCTTTTTACAGTGGTAATCAATCCTATCTACAAAGGAACCTGTTAAAATTTTCAGATATTTTTACATGTGTGATCCCTCTCTAAGTATGTCATGTTTTGAGAAGTTTTCCCATACACAATTTCAAATACAAATATACGTATATATAACATTTGCAATTAATTCCTTCTCAGGCGTAAGTAACATATATGTTTGTTTTTTATCCAGTACAACTTTTTATGTTGTGTGTTTATGTATGTTTGATAATTTAATATATGTGGACCCGAGTGAGGTTTTCGCTTTTTATTAATGATCTCAGAGTAACGCACAAGATTCTCATGTCTGGAAATAATCAACTAAATTTCATGGAATTCCTAAGTGTATTTTAGAATCATTTAAGAGACATTGGTTAAGTAGACATAAGAATATCCGTCACTTATTATGAAAATGAGTTGAAAATAGTCTAATGATTCTTAAGACCGAATCAAAATGAATTGATTTTCAAGTCATGTCTTAGAAGGATATTTTCAAAACCATATTTAGTTAAAACACTGTACAAAAACTGTCTAATTTAAGTGTAAATAAAGTTAACATACTGCGAACTTTAACCCTATAATAGTTCCTCGTCTTATATTATAAAACCACACAACCAATTATACTATATATGTCTTCTATATACATTACGTACCATATATTATAGGGAACTGAAATAATCGATTAACAAGTTATTAAATATTCTTGAGGAAGGTAAACCACGAGGCGTTAATTGAGAGTTGGAGTTGATCTTACGTACTGAGCTCAGGTAGGTGGAGATATTAAGGTGAATTGTGACAAAAAGAAGGAGTTTAAACACAGGTGAATATACCGATCGGCAAGTGAATTCAACTGGGAATTATAGATGTGAGTTGAGTCTCTTTTATATAAGCTATTGAGTTATAAAGCCAGTTAG